CATCTTGATATATAATATACTTCTATCTTCTTTTCTTAAAATAATTTTTTTTTCATTTTTGTATTTTTTGTGTACATTTTGTTTCATATGATCATGCTCATACATTGTGCCACATAAAACCAATCATCATTGATCTATGTCCATTTCTATCCTATTTAAGGATATAAAATCTAATTTAGAAAAACATAATAAAGCATGCAATTTGTCATTGGATTATATTGAAAATATCATGCTTATTAAATAAAATACTGAGCACTGGTGCTTATTAAATAAAATACTGAGCACTTAGTCCAGAGGGAGTTGAGTTGCTAGCCCAAAGTCATCTCTTTGGCCCTTTGAATCTATTAGTGGCTTTGTGGGAAATGATGGCAAATTTATAGCCTCAGAAAACCCACTAGAAGGTCAACTATGAGCCAGTTCTGACTCTGTGTCAATAAATAGTAAGTAAGAATAAAAATATGATTCAAAATACAAAAATATGCAGAACTTAATAAAATCAGAGTATTTGGAACTTGAGAATATGTTGAGAAATTTAGAATGATATAGACACTGTATTCCATTTTTCCTGCCTGGACAGCTGGATCAGTGGAACTGTATACGTAAAGGGATGTGCATGCACATATATGTCCATCTGTTAACTTCAATGCAAAAAGAGGAAAAAACACTTTTATGAACACAAGAAGAGTAAATTTTATGTGATTTATGCATGAACTTAGGTTTTCTGGGTTGTTGTTGTTGTTGCTATATGTCATTAAATCTTCAGTTCTTAGAGACCTCATGAAAAAGAAATGTGAATCCTTCCCTTATTATGTACCATCCTAGTCATCTTTGATGTACTTGAGCCTATAATTATTGTCGCCATGTCAAATCATCTAGTTAAGGAACTTTCTCTCTTGTGTCAACCCTCCATCTTCCCTAATATGATGTCCTTCTCTGAGGACTGGCCCCTCCTAACAACATTTTTAAAGTATATGTGACAAAGTTGCACAATCCTTGTATTTCAGAACACTGGTTGCACTCTCCCAAGACAAATTTTTTGTTCCTTTGACAGTCCATGGAATATTCAGTATTCTTCTTCAACACCACAACCCAAAGGCATCAATTCTTCCTTCTGTCATCCTTAGTCAACGTCAAACTTCAGATGCATAGGAAACAATAGAAAAGACCATAACTTGAATCACTACACATTAGTTTTTAAGCTTAAATTATTGATCTTTAGCATTTTGGAGAGATCCTTGACAGCAGATTTTTCAAGTGCAACATGTCTTTTGATTTCTTAACTGTTAGCACCGAAATCTCCAGGGAGCTCTGGTGGCTTAGTGGCAAGAAACTGCACTGCAATCATGAAGGCATACAGTTCAAGCCCACCACCTGCTCCGGAGAATAAAGATGGGCAATCTTCTTTCATGAGATTATGTTGTTCTTGCTGTTGTTGTTGTTGTTGTTATGTGCCATCGAGTCACCTTAAGTGCTTCTTAAAACCAGCCAGTGGGTCAGCTTTGGGTCAGTTCCAACCCTACAGTACACAACAACAACAGCACCAAAATAGTTGTTTATGGGTCAAAATAAAATGAAATCAAATGGCCTTCAATCTTTCTTCCATCTACTACAATGTTGTATGATGTCCAGTAGTGAGTATTTTGTTTTCTTGATGTTGAGATATAATCCATAATTAAGGTTTTAGGGTTGATTTTTTTTTTAATTTTCTACACTTTTTTTTTATATATTGTATACTATTTTCAGACAATTCAGATTCTTCTCACTTTCAGCAAGTAAGGTTGTGTCAACTTCATAATGCAGGTTGTTGATGAATCTTCCTTCAGTTTTGATCTAACTTCTCAAATTATTTCCTTTACATACAGGTTGAATAGGTATGGAAAAAGGAGACAGCTCTAACACATACCTTGCCTAATTTTAACAGTGCAGTGTTTTCTTTGCTCTGTTATCTAGAACAACAGTTTCTTGCTCTAAGTAAAGGTTTCTCATAAGCACAATTAAGCATTCTGAAATTTTTTTCTCAATGTTAACCATATTCATTTGTGACCCAAACAATCAGATGCTTTTGCATAGTCAATAAAACAGGAATATACATCCTTCTAGTATTCTCTGCTTTCAGCCAATATCCATCTTCTATCAGTAACATCATCCCTGGTGCCACAGTTTCTTCTAAATCCAGCTTGAATTCCTGGAAGTTCTCTGCCAATATACTGTTCAAGACATTTTTTAACATTCTTCAGCAAGATTTTACTGAAGGAGAAGAACTTGTTCTTTGTTTCTCAAGCTGAAAGAACTGGAAAATAAATTCAAGTCTCAAGTTGCAATATCAAAGGATGCTATAGACAAAATCTTGAATGATCCATGAAGCATCAAAAGAAAATGCTCCCTTTTTATGTACCCTCCCCAAAAAAGTGTACATGGAATCTTTTCAGGAATAACATATAATCAAGAACCAATGGTAATAAAGAAAATAACTCAAGCTGCACTGACGGCATTGGCAAATTTCAAAGGCCAAGTAACTGACAGAATGTCAATTGACATGTTCTAAAAAACAGATGCAGTCCTGGACGTACTTACCAGGCTGTGCCAAGAAATCTAGAAAGAGCTACCTGACCAACTGACTGGAAGAGATGCATATTTGTTTCCATGTCAAAAAAAAAAGGTGATCCAAAAGAATGTAGAAATTATTGAACAATATAATTGATATCACATTTTCTGCTTGTATTATTTTTATGTACCATAGAGTTGGAACCAACTCATAGCTGACCTTCCAAAGTGTGTTCAGAGGCAGTTAATTTTATAGGACAAGATAGCCCATCTTTTACCCATGGAGCTTCTGGTGGCCTTCAACCATGAACCTCTGGGATTGCAGCACCACTTCTTGCCTCTAGGCCACCAGAGCTCCTCTCTTCTACCATTTTCTGGTAGAATTAAAATTATATTACATTGTGCTATTCTTTTTCTCTATAATCTCATGCCCTAGACATGTCACTTTGTCGCAGTGCTTTCTGCAGGGCATTAACTGTGCTGTTCAGATGGACTCTTAGAAACTTGAGACGGTGAATATCACCGCTATGAACATTGATGAACAAATCTCCATTTACGTCTCAGTTCTAATTTCCTTGGGGTATATTCTTAGTAGTTGGATAGCTGGGTTCTATGGAGTTTCTTTGATCAGCTTTTTGAGGAAACTCCCACCTGTCTGCAGCTCAAATGTCCAACCACAATCACATGGATTAAGATACTGTGGTATATTCATGCAATTGAATACTACGCAGTACTCAGGAACAATGATTTTGAAAAACACTACATAACTTGGAAGAGACTAGAGAGAATTATGCTGAGGGAACTAAGTCAAAGGAGGACAAATACTATCCTTATTACAGATTGTTACTATAAAAATAGAAGGAAAACCTGTATGGGGACCAAAGGGAAGAAAAAGTGGGAACAGAGGGGTGAAGATGGGTCTGGGAAAAATCATAGGGTTGCACAATTTGTTGGGTGGAGGGAGGAGGTGAAGGAAATGGGAAAGATATGGTGGGGACCTGAAAGGACAAGGTTACTGTGGACATACTCTAATGAGATTATTAAAAGAATAATGTAAAACACAATGCATATGCACTTTGTAAGCAAATCAATATAATATATATTTTAAA